CCTTTATAATACTGTATCTGCCTGCCCTGTATAGCTGGTGCTGTCTTGCCTTTGGCATTACCCTGTTTGCATGAACAGCATCTCTAACACAAGAAGAAATTGGGCAAAAAACCGTCAAGACCCCCAGCAACAATTAAAAAATTCATTAAGCTACAACAGGCCCGTCACTGCTAGGTAATTATTAAGCTGTAAGAATTGCTAATTGTCTTATTAGCATTAAACAATTATGCAAATAATGGAAAACATACCATAAGAGTAATAAAATTACCTCCTTTTCTCTCCTTTTTTCTTTAACCATTAATGAGGTTTAAAACCTAAAGTGATGCTTATGGTTTTACTTGGAGCATCTTAAGAGAAGAGTGAGACTTCTAAGGGCACTCAGCACTATGTGAGTAGGACACCTTGAACTGCATCTACCATGAGGTGTTTTCTAGAGCTTGTAGTGCTTCCCTGTTCTACATCAGTTCAACATAGGGAGACACACATGGCCTTGGAGGACCATGCAGTGGTCACACTGCTAGGCCAGGACCAAAGAGTTTGAATTCTTTACTCATGGGCACCCCCATTCTCCCCCACATAAAGCACATGGTGCTTCAGGGTTTCTTCCTGGGTGAAAATAATGAAATTTATCAAGTTTTCTCATCAATTCAGGACAAAATGTTATCTCAAGGACTTCATCACTATCAAGTTAGTAACCTGAAGTAAGCGCTGGACTCTCTTCCAAGTGAGGTTCCAGCTGGATTTTGGAGGTCAGCAGTAAGTTGAATGATGAGCAGTCTTTGTCTTCCGGAGAAATGAGAACAAGTTCTTGTTTATCCCCACCACTAGGAAATGGAGACCTCACTTACTCATGTTCACAGTGAGTTTAGAAGAGACAAAGTGCTTCTTTGTTTCAACATGTTAATGCCGTTAATCTCTAACAAATATTATTGGTTTGCAGGCTTTAAACTCTGCTCTGCTGATAAGGCACAGCACTTCAAAGCAGCCAGGGTGGGTCCTGCTCCCATGGTGATGCAATGAGAAATACAGGTCACCTCACTCAGTCTTGTATTTAAACAGGTTTTCATCACCAAAACACACCTTCACTTTCGCTTTCTGATAAGAACAGTGACGGGGATGGGGGGGCATTCTGCCATGGCAGTGCAGAGATTGGGGATCACCACCACCCATTTCAGCCTTCTTGGAAGAGGAGGGGAGGTCACCTAAAACAAACCCCAATCCCCAGTGTCCTTGAAGAGCTGCTTCTAGCGCCCTGGGATACGCTGGTACCCCACCAAGCAGCCGTTTGTGGCCTTTTCCTTCTCACTATAAGGTGTGGCAGGCAAGGAGCAGTTTCTCATCCTTGTTGCCTGGAAATCGCTTTCTGACTTTGCCCTCACCTCACTGTTTTGGGGGACAGGAAAGCCAGTGGGCAGGAGGGCAAACAAGGGAGAAAGACTTTTTTCCCTGTGACATTGTGTTGTACCTGGGTGACAGGACACAGTGAGCTCCCATGCTCGTTTTGAGGTTCTAGGGTAATGGATTTGCTGTTGATGAACTTCTGAGGGGCACATGTCATGGAGAGATTCACTGAAGTGCCTGTTCCTGTAAATTCACATTTCACTTTCCCATTATTTGAGTGGAAATTTGTGCTCAGACTTGCATTTCATAATACCTTTATTTATGTTGGGCTACTTTGCAGGTCAAACTGCCAGACTCGGAGGGGAGGCGGGTGTTGCTCTGTGTGAGTAACTGTGAAACTGTTGGGGCTTTCTTTTCCCTGGCTTGGGCCTTTCTGTCTCTCTGGAGTCAGCCTGACTGCCTTCTGGGAGGGAAGAGCTGATGAGGCATGTTACTGATGAGACACATACTTTTTCCTTCTCCTTTTGAATCCCTCCATTTATTACAGGTCACTGGCATGGGAACGTATGAGAGCTTTTGGCTACGACACACAATTCCTGTTGGGAGTGAACAGCCCTCTGTACAGCCTGCAGCACAATGACGAAGTAGCTCAATTTGATCAGCTGATTTCCCACAGTAGTTAAAAGATGTGGTTTTTCTATAGTGTTTCATTCTCTTATGAAACAAACTCCTTCATTCTCAGCTTCATGAGGCCCCACATTGCCTGGTATAAGGAATCCATGGAAAACATTGGTTGTTTTTCTTTGGGCTTTAGAGTGGTCATAGTCATATAGTTAAGATTTTTTTCTCACTAACACTGAAGTCCAGTCTGCTGCGTACAGGAACCAGGATAAATTTAAGAGGCAATGGCAGAGTGTGGTCCCCACCACTCGTAGTCAAAACAACCACAGGAAGCACTCAGCATTTCTCTGCTGCAGTTTGGTATCTAGGAAGAGAACTGAAAAGGAAGAGAAAGAAAAGGAGACATGTCTCCTTTAGTAGAGAAGAATAAATCAGTCCATGTCTGTGGACTGCTACTCTTCCACAAGCTTCCAAACATGCCTTAGGAAGGGATCTATGGGATCCTGTGCTTGCAGGACATGCTCTGCCCCATGAGCTGGCAGTGAACTGGTAGGAAATCTCACCCAGCAGCACTGGGAACAGCCCAACGGGTGTGGGAAAGGTCCGCAAAACAGATGAGGATATATAAGGCTCCTACAAGGAAAAGTTGTAGAAGGGAAAAGTACAACACAGAGAAGGGATTTTTAAGCATCATCCCATGAGGAATATCCTAGGAGAAGAGTGGTTGTGGGTAATAGTAGGCAGCTGCACAGGCAGCTCTGCTCCCTTCCTGCCCTGTTCCTCCCTCGAGTGCTTGTTAGTTTACCTGTTGGTACATTAAAGACTCATCATTGCTATAAACTCCCGCAGAGCTCTTCTTAATCACCAACTAAGAACACTGCACAAGTAGCTGATGCCTGTGTTTTGAAAAGCCATTATTGGGCCAGTAGTAATACTATTACTGCCTTAGCTAACTCCTTCAGCAATGTCATTTTAATCACCTTAGTGTATAATACGGACCTGATTCTTCTGGTGTAGCAAGGGCTGTACCTTCAACCTAACCCTCTGTGGGATGCACAGCTTGGAGCCAGCAGCTAATAGCTTTCTTCTGGTGTTTGCAAGCCTGGTTGCCTTCTTGATACAACTGTTGTGGCCAAACACAGATGACCAGGCTCAGTACAGGGAGGGATGAGGTGAAATGCAGTGGCCTGGGATGCACAGAACATCACAACTGCTCTCAGGAGTCCAGCCTGGCTTTCTGCTCCATGGGTCTATGTCTTCTGCTACCCAGCCCCAGCTGCCCCTTCCCAAAGCACAGGGTAACGAGAAGGGAGCAACCACACTGAGTCATTAAGCTGGGTTTGTGAGAAGACAGATTGTCATGTTAAACAAATATAGTTTTTAAAAAGCTCAGTATCATTCCCTGGGCCATGCCCCATCTGGGCCATTAAATCTGAAAGGGGTAACTACAGCTGTGTCAAAGCTGAGCGCCAAAGCTGCTCCTCACTGTTTGTACTACCAGCGATTGGCAACAACTCCCATTTTCAAACATCATTTTCTTCTCATTTCCCAGTGCTGCACTGTATCGATTGCAAGCACGGCAGGGGGCTGTACGCTGCTAAACAAAACAGTCTTTGAGACTTACAAAAAGAAACCCCACCAAATGCATTTCCTAACCCCTTTGCATCCTCTGTATTTCAAGCCCCAAGTTACCTGATGACAGAAGATGGGAAGGGCTGCCTGTCGTTAGCCAGTTGGCTTTTTGTTATCAATCTAATGAAAAGGTGGAGTAGAAATGAAGCAGGACAGCTCAGCTTCCAGGGCTCCAGTGCTGAAAGTTTCCAAGAAAGCAAGCATCTTTTCCAAGGGAATGGGTAAAAAAAAGCCTTTTGAGTTAATCCAGCATTTCTTTTGATTGGCCCCTTGGTAATCTGATTAAATTTGAGTGCAGATGTTCATGCTTTCCTTCACAGAATACACCCAGTGCTCGGGAGCAGGCTCACTGTACTGTGCTTCCTCCTTGCCACACCGTTCTTGTTACGGTTGTGCAGCAACATATGCTAAGGCCCTATTACAAGGGATTCCTATAAATGGCATAAAGGATTAATAATGTATTTATAACACAGCTTTGTTTTAGTATAAAGTGATCTATAAATTTGTAATAAATGTTTTATAATGTTTTTGTAGCCTGTTATAAATGATAAATGGGAGACTATAGATGCCGCATCAAATATTCATGCTGCATTGTGTGCATTATTATGCTGTTACTGTTCAGGAAACCATTAATAATAAAGTGAATGGAGATGTAAAAGTTGCTGACATGCCCAGCAAGCCATTTATAATGAAATGTATAATCCTTACCATAAAGTAAATACATTGGCCGGTGATTGTTGATGAAATGGGAACACACTGAATTATTTGTGAGGTATTTAGATATTAATGTATATTATCCATATCATGTCATAGAAACACCATTAATATATGTATTATTAATTATTTTAACCTAATTTATAGGCAGCTCTTCAAGCGTTACCTTGTCTCTTCTGCTCTTTTGTCAGCCGCATGAGGCCGGGTGAGTTACGGCGTGTGATGTGCATGTCATGGGGCAGCCGCTGTGTTGGTGATGCTGATGCTGATGCTAGCCGTGGCCAGGACAGCACCAAGGCGAGTGTTTGCCTCACCCCCCATCCCCATCCATCCCCTTCTGCAGGGACAGGGGCTGAAGGTGGCCGCAGGTGATGGCAACAGCCCATGGCCGGCTCCCCTCCTTCCTTAGCCACGACGAGGCCTCAGGGCACCCGTGCTCCATCCTCCCTCCTCCTCCTCCTCACACCTCCCTGAAGGACACTTGGTTCTCTGTGTGTGGGTGTGGAGGAAACCTCCATTGTCCACACGGCAGAAGCCCAACGTGTGGGACCCCCGTGTCGCGACAGGACCCCCATGTCGGGGGTGCAACCGCAGTATACCCGCTCCCCGCCGCTTCTCCCCCGGCTCCGCCAAGCTCGGCCCCGGGGCGAGGCCCTGCGGGGCCTTCGCTGCCCGCCCCTCTCCCGCCCCTTCCCCGCCTCCTGCGCGGCGCGGCGCGGCGCGGCCGGACGCCACACACCGGCGGGCAGCGGCCGGGCCGGGCCGGGCAGGGCGAAGGGGTCCCTGAGCACTGCCGCCGGTTGCCCCGGCCCGTCGAGGCCATGGCGGCCATCCAGAACCTGCAGCTGTGGTGCAAGCAGCAGTGCGAGGGCTACCGCGATGTGAACATCACCAACATGACCACCTCCTTCCGCGACGGCCTCGCCTTCTGCGCCATCCTCCACCGGCACCGGCCCGACCTCATGTGAGTACCCGCGATGGGCATCGAGGACAAGGCCTGGGCTGCCGGCTCGCCGGGGCTGGGACCCTCGATGGGCTGCCGTCGAGCCGCGGAGCAGAGCCCACCGTGGGCCTTCGCCTTCCCTCAGCCCAGCCGCGATGCCAGCTCCTCATGGGGAGATGCTGTGGGCTGGCGGCTGGCGCCAGGAGCTCTGCTATAGCACCCACGCTGAGGCTCTCCAAGTGGAGAGCTGTGCTCTCACTACCCACACGCATTCCTCCCCTCCCCAAGATTTTCCCTTTTTCCTTCCCTCCGTGGCTGGATTATGCATGTTTAAAAGCGTCTTTTTCCATTGCAAAACAAGTCCAGACATTGGTTTGGGGAGGAAGCGTTTCCTCCTTTGCTGCTGGTGTTTGCTTAGGCTGGGCTTTCCTTGCGCAGCCCGACGGCAAGCTCAGCTGTGTGTGGGGAGACGAGGGCTATTTGACCAAAATACAACAGAAGGGCAGGGCTCAGGTTCCTGCACATCACTCCATTTTCCCATCTATTGCTCTGGGTGTGGGAGGCGAAGTGTTTTCCAGCCCTTGCCGGTGCCATTGCTGGCGCCCTGCGGGTTTTGACCTGTTGCTGCCTAAGTGTTAACATCTGGGAAGGTGAAGAGCCAAAGGGAGATGTAGGTCCTGCTTCCTCGTTGGTTTGGGTTTGTTTCGTTTTGTTGCTTCTGGGCTCTTTGGACTTTGAGTTGTGGGGGAGTTGAGAGGGGAGGTCAAGGCAAGGGATGTGCACAAAGATTGCCCAGGATTATTGATTTAAGCTTAGGTCTCTCCCACAAGGCAGAGGACCACATTGGGTTGTCTGTGCTGCGGTTTTCCTCCTATTCCTTGAATTCCGCCTTTTTCCTTGTGCTCCCAGAACAGCCAGACGCTTGAGTTTGTGTGTAGAGATCTCTGACAGGTCTGCTGCTTCTGGTGGAATCCCGAGCTCTCTTGCTCTTCTCTCCTCTTGAAACTTGGCAGAGGCACTTAAGGCACACCTTCCGTAGTCCCAGTGCTTGGGCAGTCACCATGGTGTTGCTGTGTATGGCTTCCTGCCATGCCGTCATGTCCACATGACTCCAGATGTTTCCTTTCCTTCCTTTGATTCACAGTCCCAAAGATACAGAATACCAGAGCAGAAAGGTTGATGTGACCAGGAGGTGCTCCTAGAGGGATCGTGACTGCTTCCTGGCCAACTCTGCAGCTGGTCTAGCTGGAGCATGGGTGTACACAGGGGCTCAGCAGCTGAAAAGCTGGAATAATCCTGTTGATCAGTTTAGTGTGTTGTTTATAATCCTTGAACTGTGCATACACATATCTTAAATAAATCCTCCTGTGCTGAAGAGGGAAGATGTTCCTTGTGGCGTCTCCCTGTTCCCATTCATTTTCTTTTATGATGGAAGTTCTGCCTGGCTTTATTCAGGACCTTACAGAAGCGCTTCTGACTGGGGCCAGCTCAGCAAAGACTGCCTGGAAGTTAAAGTAAGAGAAGCTTTTATCAGCAGCCTCCCTCATCAGTGTCAGTGGTGTAATGCAGGAAAACACCAGGTGTATCCTTGGCTGGGCAAAGTCCTGCTGGAAGGAAATCATGCTTTCAAGTGGCTGGGGCTGCTGGGTGTCATGTGTTGGATCCTGGGACTGAATACCTGTGCCGTTCTCCATCTAGCTCTAAAAGCTTCTCAGTGTTGATAGTACAGGAGCCACAGGCAGAGAAGTGCAGCTGGGTGCACATGTGGCTGTGACCCCTGCTTCACAAGGGTTTGGAAGTGGTTTGCCCTGAGCTTCTCCCCTTTGCTTCTAGTAAAGATCCTGGTTGAAGATTAAAAGCATTGTACTGCGAATAAAACTAGGAAAGGATAAACTGGTGTTTGCAGCAGCTCTGCCGTGTTAATCACTTGCAGGACATGATTCAGTCACGGCAGCAGAGTTTTGCAACAGTGAGTTTTCTGTCGTGGTTTACACAAATGCCATTCTTTGGCTGAGGAGTGCAGGGGATTTCTCCTTGCAGAAGTTCCCAGGAAAACTTCAAGCAATTACGAAACATGGTCATAATCACAGGCTTCTCTTGTGGGGTATGGGGCTGCTGGGGGTCTCTCCTCCCCCTTCCTGTTTTCTTGCTGGAAAGCATATGGAAAATATGATAGCTTCCCTCAGACTTGCCTGATGTTGGTTTGTATGCTACCAGTGAGCAGGGCAGGCTGTGTAAAATCAGAAATGCATTTCCCACTCTCTTCCCACTCACCTAAGGATGCTGTGGGGGAGTGAAGATGAATGTTGAATCACCATGGAAATTCATTTCTCTTTTGTCCCAGCTAAAGAGCGCTCCAGAGCCATTCCCAGCCAGGCACGCACGTGTGTCAGGCAGGTCCCAGCCCATTCTCTGGGGTGTCTGCAGAGCCCTGAGGCTCCTCTCATCAGAGGGACGTGCAGCCTCGCAGCAGCGTGGTGAGAGGCTGAGATCAGAGCTGCTGCATGCGATGGCCATGGCTGTGCAAGTTTTAGTGGCCTTGGCTGATAAGTGAGTTAGAAGAAGCTGGGGAGCTGTGCGCCCTCACCCCAATATTAATGCCAGATGTCAAGGAAAGGTTTTGATTAAGCCGCTCCTCCCTGGGATCTTGCTCTTTCCCAGCCTGCAGGCTGGTGTTCAGCTCCACGTTCTGGGAATGGACTGGTTGTGAAATCCCCCTTGGCAGCTCAGCAGCCCAGGGTGCCTATTCCAGCAGCGTTTCCTGGGCTGCTGTCAGCTCAGCAGGGCAGGATGGGGCCGACAGTCATCAATACAGATAGGAAGGGCCCTGGCTGTGCTGAGGATGGGTTGCACTCTCCATCCCCTTAGCAAAAGGCTGGGGTGGAGCAGAACTGCTGCCCGCTTAGCCTCCATGGGGTTGTGGATTGTGTGATGGGCATAGATAAGAGGAGGATGGGTGCTGGGGTCAGTTGTTCGTTACCCCCAGAAGCACACTGAACAGAGCAGTGTGGAGCAGGCGCTGCTGAGAGGAGAATGAGCGCATTGGGGCATCTTCCAATTGGGATTCCCAGCTCTGTCCTCTCCGCACAGGTTGTTTGCACCTCCAGGAAGAGCACAGCTGAAAGGTCCTGTTCCCAGCAGAGCATGCTGGATTTGAGCCCTCTGTTCCAGAACTGGGACCCTGGCAAAGGGTGTTTCATTCTTTTTCAGTGAAATATCTTATTCTCTAGAGAGAAGATAGTACAAAAGTGCTGAGGGGCAGAAGCTTTTGGTACCATCACTGCTCTGGGATTCCCCCCCTCCCGAGTCTCCTCCAAGGTCAAGTTTACAACCTAGTTAGTAATTGCAGCAGCAGCAGCAGAGATTCCTCCTCTGGAAGCACATGTGGTTTGCGAGTACTGGGTCTGTGCAGCTGGAGCTGTGGGTGGTCAAGGAGGTTTGTGGTCATGAGGAGCACTGGGCCACTTCTTTTTGCTAAGAGAAGGGTTATTTGGGGAGCTAAAAGCTTCACTTGTATTCCTGTGCTGGTGAACTCCACTCTGATTTGTTTCCAGCACTGGAGGCCCTCTCTTGGGTCAGATTATATTTCTCACCTCTTCCAATTAATTCAGTTGCCTGTGTTTTCTCAGCGGAGAACTCCTTCTCCATTTGTATTATCTTTGCTTTCTTAGGATTACATTGGTCCAGAGAGCTTTGATATTCCAAGATAGGAGTTGCACCAGCAAGATCAATTTCCAAAAGAAATATGTGCAAGCAGTTCACCTGACTAGCCAGGGAAGAAGTGATGCTGAGCGGGCAGGAGGCTCTTGAAATGACCAAGTAACCTGGTTGTTTGCACTCTCCTTTGGGGTTTCAGACATTCACCATCAAGAGATTTGGGTTTTAGGTCTCTTACATGCCGTGCAGTGTGAAGCTGCATGCACACCAGCAGAGCAAACAGCATTCAGCGTGGCTGAAGGCCACTGACCGACAATGAGTAGTATGTTATGTCTTATGTGTCAGCATGACTGAGTGAGCTGGAGCTCCCCTTTGCTCTTGCAGGTGTTTTCCTGCGTATCCCTGCTACAGAGACTATTTGGGAGCAGAACCAGGAGTGAGGCCGAGTGCTGCAATCATCTCATTCAGCTGGCTCTTAAAGAGCGCTGATTTTCTTGTCTGACACAACCAGGATGATTGTATTTACCACTGAAACCTTCTGTGATTGTTTCTGTTGCTCTTTTTAATCCATTGTTTCAGGGAAGGGAAATCTCCGGGCAGGAGCGCTGCTTGAAGGAAAAAGCTCTGCAAGTCCCATTGATTTTGCACAGGAAAGAGTATATGATTTAGAGGTGGGATGTGCCTTGTCTTTATGTGCTTCTCGGGGGAGGTTGGCCTTTGGGTCTTATCTGTCGTTCATTCTCTCCTTATCCCACGTAGCAATTCCAGATGCAGGAAGCAGGGAGGAGGCACAGGCTGTGGTATGGTGGACAAACCTAGTTGAATGTGCCTCTCTTATGTATAATGTAATGCTCCACTTTCTGTAGTAAGTTGATAAAGGACCTGGCTTGCTCCTTGCTGATACAAGTCATGGAAAAAGTTCCCCTGCTGCGCTCCAGATCATGTGTTTGTCTCATGAATAGGTTGCTGTGGGCCAGCTTTGCCCTGGCTTTCACACTGTTATCCTGGCTCCTCTTCGAGCTGGGGGGCTGGCTGACAGGGGTAGGTCCACATGGGTTATGAAGGTGCTACATTCGAAAATGCAAAGTTGGTCTCTAGCCTTTTCTGCTTATCAGTGAGAATTTCCTCTCTGATACCAGGCGTTTGCTTCAGCTCTGTGCTAGTAGGTACAAGGATTGTAAAGTGAAACTGGGTTATCAGAAAGGAATTGACCCTGCCCGCTTGCCTGGGCAGAAGGAAGCGGTGTTGGAGAGCAGGGCTGGTAGCCAGCAGGCAGTTTTGTATTCCCAATTTAGCAAGTGACAGTCACTTTAAAACAAAGCTGATGGTGGCTGTTTCCTAGGCGAGGGACATGCTCTGCTATGGGTGAGAAAGCACATTGTGTTGTGGCTCTACTTCCAATAGCACAAACTCATTCTTCCCAGTGTTTTCTTGCCTGTCTTGCCAGGTCTCCACTTTCTGAGTTCCCAGCACAGCACAGAGGGAGGTGGCATCTGGGTTGGACCAAGAGAGGGAGAGAGCAAATCTGTAATAGGGGAGGAGGGAGGTGATGTCTGGGGACAGCAGAAAGGAAGAAGGACTGTTGACTTTGGCTTGTAACTTGCAAACAGTAATTGTCTCTTCCTTTTCAGTTACTGGTTCTGGTTACAAATCAAAGGAGACAGCCCTAGGGAAAGAAGAATAACATTTCTGCAGGCAACTGTGGTGTTATCAGCCACGCTGTTGTGTTGTGGGCAGACGTATTTCCCAGGCACATTCCTAGTGCTGGTTTTGTGGAGCTCTGCCAGAGGACAAAAGAGGATTTGAAACCAGAACTTGGAGCTGAGGTCTCCCTGTGTGGAGACAACTTGCAAGATGGGGAAAGAGCATGGATGTGACGGTTTGGAAAGTATTTCTGGGGAGAGAGTGTTGCAAATCTGGCTGGGAGGCACCAGTGTACCTTTTTGAGGTGGGAGAGGAGGTAGGCTTTCCATGAGTTAGAGGTTGCTCCTGTCTGTCTCAGCAAAAGCTCTGAATTTGCATGGGATGTCTTGGCATCAGCACATCCTGACTGCGGGAGGCAGCCCTGCAAGGGTAGATGTGCCAGAAATGTGTTGTGCTGCCTGTGGGCAGATGGCTATGCCTGCTGAGCCTCCTGCACCTCTCTGTCCTGGGAGGTATAGCAGGTCTGTGAGTGTCTTGGATGGGATCTGACACAGTGCTCCCTCCAGAGCATCTGAGAAGGCAAGGCGGGAGCAGGTGCTCTGTCCTCTGGACCAGTGGGGCTCGGAGAGGCTTGAGAAGCTGGAAGCAGCATCACCAACCTGAGATTTTTCTCTTGTTCCTGTATTTCAGAAACTTCAACTCCCTCAGTAAAGAAAATGTGTACGAGAACAACAAGTTGGTAAGTGACTTTTAATGTTTTACTTGTGGTCTAGTCCATGACCTGGCACCTTGCTTATGTGCTTTAGCAGGTGCAGTGTGCTGAGTGTGCTAGACTCAAATCCTTTGCCTTATTCTGCATGTTTACAGCCTTCTGGTTTAGATGGCAATGTCTAGGCTTGCTGGCTGCTTGAAAGCACCATCAGACCATTCACACTTCTTCACTGGCTTCACAGGATTCCTGTGTCCAGTGTGTCCTGTGACAGCAGGGACTCAGAAATGCTGGAGCACACGATGCTCCTGAGGGATGAAGCAGGAGCTGGGAGGTAGCTGGTGTGAGAAGGGAAGTGCACGGAGTCCTCCCCCAGTTCTCATTACTGGCGCAGGGGATGAAAGCTGCTAGAAGGTGGAGACATCCTAAAACCTCATCCTTTGGACGCTTCGCTCCAGGATGGGATTTGAGTTTCTCTTCTCTTCATGAAGAAAAGAGCAGTTGAGCAGGCCAGGCCCCCTCCTGCACTGGATTCAAGCATGGGCTTAGTGCTCCAAGGAAGGTTTTTTTTTCCTCCCTCTCTCCCTCACAAAGAGAGAGCCAGTGCATTAAAATGCTTGTCTTCCCTTGGCATTGCTCCACACAGCTTCGTGGCTGCTTGGCAGGAGCCTGGGATGTGAATGAACCACGGCAGCTTACTCTTGTCTGGACTGGAGGAATGACATCCTCTGACGCAGTGAACTGTCTGAGGTGGTCCTTGCCTCTGGGAGAGCTAAACTCACCCTCTGCATTCCTTAGCTTCCACTCCCATTCAGCCCCAGCCATGTTCACAGTGCCTGTGGCAGACCCCTCTCTCCCCAGCCTGGGGCTGCAGGCTGGGACCAGTTATTCACACCCTCTGGGGTTCAGCCCTGCACGTTCCCCTCCTCTAGGTGAGAGTCAGACCAAGCGTTTTTGCCCTTGAGGTTTGGTTTTTGGCTGGCATCAGGGCCTCTTTGCCATGGATGGTCATCCTGGCCAGAGTGCTGTGGAGCACGGAGTGTTCCTCCTTCCCCAGCTGCGCTGATGGTGTCTCCTCTGCTGGCAGCTTTGCTTGTCTCTGGGAAATGAGCTGTATGAGCTGCCTCCAGTGCTTTTATTAATGAAAAGCTGCTTTGTGCCTCTCATATAAAGAGTTGCTGCCTCCTTTGTTGCAGCCTGTGTTTCCCCCACCCCTTCATTTCTTAGTTTCTTCTATGTCCTTTATTTTGCTCTCTCTTCCTTATTACCCCCGCTGTAAGATGACTTGTCTGTGTTACCCTTTCACTGCTGCTATCCTGCTAGCTTGGCTTTTGCCCCTCCATCTCCCTGTGGGCTCCTGGGCTGGCCTTCTCTCTCAGACTCATCTCCATCCTAGCTCTTACACTTGCTCTGGCTTCTCTTGGGATATGACTGGGTCTGATTTCTCCCAGTGCTATTCCTCTGCTATTGTTCAGGCGCTCCTTGATGCCTCACTGTTCAGTAACTTCTTAGAAGCTGCATTATTCAACTAAAAACCTCGTTTGAGCTGCAGTTTGCCATATAAGGTCTTCTGCTGAGGAGGAATTTGTCACTTCTCGAGTGCCAAAAAAACAACCCACAAGCCCTAGAAAAATTCCAGTTGGTGGCATTTTCTTGCCTAAGATTTCAAATATGTATAAAGAGGAGAAAGGCTTCTAGCAGCCTTAGGTCCAGTTTTTTCAGTGCTAATGGGCAGTGGCATGGTGCAGCAGATACAGTGGTGATCTGTGTCACAGGATGAGGCAGACTCAAATGGCTTCGAGTTTTATCACTTTGCCTCCCCTATGCACAATGGCAGCAGTGGCATTTACCTCCTTGTGAAGCACTTGGAGCTGCAGTGATGAAAAACGCTATGCAGAAATAACATGTTGCTGCTCTAAAAGCCAGCCTGGGCAGGCAGGTAGAGGGCAACTGGGCCATGTTAGGTGGTGATCTTGGATCTCCAGGCAAGAGCAGTTCCCAGGAGCACAAGGATGCTGCAGGCACCGGGGAGACTACATGTAATGCTGCTCTCTGCAGTGCTCACTGGTTCTGGCCAAACCAGTTGTGCGCATGGAGCATCCTCCTCTTTGAGATCCAGGCAGCCCTCACACTTGTTCTATGCCCGTTGCACTTTCTCACCCATGGCACTGTGTGGCAGGAGGTGGCGTGGTCTGTGTTGCTGCTAGACTGCACACTGGGAATGTCCAGCAAGAAAACTCCACTGGTCAGACCAGTTGTGCAGCTAGTGCAGAGGGGAACACCCCAAAGAATATATGGAGTACCAGACTGTGAGGCAGGCGAGTGCCAGGCTGGGCTGGCAGCACGACACAACCAGAGCTAACTGGCTGAAAGCGTTTTTAATGTCAGCTCAGTTACATTTTTACTGGGCTACCCAATGGAAAAAAATGGTAATTATTTTGCTGTAAAAGAGTGGCTGTTTGTTTCTTCTAAGCAGGAATGGTTGGCTTGTACACCAACACTGTGGTGTGTCCGTGCCAGAGGTCAGATGTGGAGGGTTTTAATATGTTCAAGCCTTTCTTTAACCCTTTCACTGTGGGCTTCAGCGGTAGCCATCCTCTGGTTCTGTAAGGGCTGTTTTCCTTTGTTGTGTTGGCATTTCAAACGGGATGCTCCAAAAGGAGGTGGAAGGGATTTTTTGCCTAAAAGCTAGGAAGGAAGAGGGCTGGAGAAAGTCCCTAATAAAGCCCTACAGTGATTTGAGCAAGGGCAAAGCTGCTTTATGGATGTTGCAATATTTTTTTTGTCCTCTAGTAAAGGCTCTTGCTCAGAGGCAAAAAGGAAATAGCTTTTGCCTCCTTTATCTGACTTTGATCCTGCAGTTTCAAAGCAGAGGGCAACACAGAGAGGAATATTGGCCCCAAATATTGGCAGCGTGGATATGGTTAAGCTGGAAGGGAGATAAGTGTCAGGAATTCTGCATTATTCCTCTCTTCTCCCTCTCTATAGTCTGGGAGAGAGGGCTCCCCCCTGCAGCCCAAGATTCCCCTTTTGTTAGATGGGGAAGAGCAGGCAGAGGTCGGCAGGAAGCTTTAACCTTTGCACAGCACATGGAGGTAGAGAGCTGCCTGCAAACACCCAGCAGTGCACCGTTAACTGGGGAGCCCTCCAGGTTGGGCTGGAAGCCTGGAAGCGAGTCTGCCAGCCTGGACTGACACATCCCCTTCTGCCAGGCCTCGCTCTCGGCAGCTGTGCATAGCCAGCTAGAGGCAGGCTGGAGGCAAGCAGGGGAAGCCCAGGTGAGTTCCTGTGCAGTGAGCTATGGCCAGCTTGCCAGGCCAGATTTTTGGCTCCCTGCCTGGGTTTCTCAATGCAGTGGCTGGAAGCCATGACTCCGCTGGTTCCTGCATGATGTAGGAGTTAAACTGGTGCAGCTGTTCCCCAGTAGAGTTATTATTCAAGTAGGGCTGTTTGCAGTGATGTTTCCTACTTCTGGTGAGGACCAGTTCTGTTGCCTGGGCTGGACGAGACCCCTTTTGTTTTCTCCTTCCTTCTCTAGGCATTTCGAGTGGCAGAGGAGGAGCTGGGGATCCCAGCCTTACTGGATGCAGAGGATATGGTTGCTCTGAGGGTGCCAGACAGGCTGAGCATCCTCACCTATGTTTCCCAGTATTATAACTACTTCCATGGACGGTCTCCTAGTAAGTACCATATTCCCTGGAGGGGTGGGAAGGATCAGGGCTTAATCCTGTGCTTTCCTTTTGCCTCTTAACAGCTTGGAAAAGCAAATTAGGCTGCACAGAGGCCTTTTGGTACCACAACTATTTCAGTGGGGGATCTGAACTCTTTACACACCAGACTACAGTAGCACCAGCGGAAGGACACAGGGCCATGCAGTGTCTTTAAACTAGTGCCTTAAAACATGCAATACAATCTAAAACTTCTTATGGTCCAGCCAGTCGGGAACACTGAAGGTTTCCCTCCATGTTCCCTATCTCAGCATTCCTTTCTTGAGCACCTCCATCCCTGCTTCAGTCTTTGCCACACCAGAGGGCTGGTATGAACAGAGTCTAACAAGGCTGAGCTTGTCTGTGAGGTTATGCCAATGGAACAGCATCAATGGTAGGGCTTGTACAACAAAGCAATAATGATAGAAGGGAGTAGAAGAAAATAGCTCCTTGCCAAGCTGGGGTAGATGACTCTATGTTAATGACCAGCTGAGTGCATGGAGCTGGTCCTGGGGTTGGGTAAGGAACCAACTGAGAGCTTATGGGTCAGGATTAAAGGGAGGACATGAACAGGTGACATTATAGTGGGGGTCTGCTACAGGTCTCCTGACCTTAGAGCAGCTTCCAGTGCCTAAAGGGGCTGACAAGATAACTGGAGACGGGCTTTTTATAGGGGCAGGTAGTGACAGGAAAGGGGAAATGGCTTTAAATTGACAGAGGGGAGATTGAGATGAGATCTTAGGCAGAAGCTCTTCCCTGTGAGGGTGGTGAGACTCTGCCACAGAGAAGCCATGGCTGCCCCATCCCTGGCAGTGTTCAAGGCCAGGTTGGACGGGGCTTTGAGCATCATAATCTAGTGTGAGGTGTCCCTGCCTGTAGCAGGGGTTGGAACTGGATGAGCTTTAAGGTCCCTTCCAGCCCAAACCAGTCTGTGATGATTCTCTGATTAACTGGTGTAATACTGATAACAATTCTTTCAAACATAAAACAGAGCTGTCAAGGCATTATATTCACGTACTGGAGAGTTTATGTGGGCTCACAGGAGCGTTGTTGTAGGCTTGGTTTATATTTGGCTCTAAGCTCATACAAAATGAAATAATATGATGAGCCAATTTCACAGGTTCCTCCAGAGGAAACTTCAGAAAGTGGGCCATGAATGACTTAACTGGTTAAGGTGAACCTAGATGGAGAAGATGGATATGTATTGAAAATGTCCTATATCTTGGGAAAAAAAAAAAGCACAATTCAGTCTGAGAGCTGCTTTTAATGTCTAAACTCTTCCCCCTTCTCCACCTCTTTACACATTTAAGCATGCCTTTTCCTTCACAACCTCTTCCCTCTCCCTCTTCATTACTTTTGTTTCTTGCCTTAAACCCATTCTGATTGAAGTCAAACAAATCCCATCGTGTTTGTGCCGAGTGGTGAGAATCTGGGTCAGTCTGAGGTCTTTACCCCTTTCCCTCTAGCTTCTTACATACCACGTCATCAAGCACAGCGCATTTTTATACTCTCTAGTGTCCCACACAACACTCTGGTTGCATTCCTGTTGCTGGGGTGAATGTACATGTCTGCAAACGAGACCAGCCAGGAATGTGCCCTCTGACACTAAGCAGACCCCTGGTATCATAGTCGTGCCCTTTGAATGGGCTCCAGCAGGACCATGAAATAAGCAGGACACAGGAGGCCAGAGAGGGTGAGCAGCCAGTATTTTATTGAGGTCATGCATTTATGGAAGAGTAGAGCTGAAGCCACCAATCTTTGTGCTGGGCTTTGGGAACTCACTGAATGGCACATGTGGGAAGTGAGGAGGCAGCATGAGACTAAACCCTTTGCTGGGCTGGCTGTCACCAGCCCACTGGTTGTTGCTGTAAGAGAGCCTTGGGTGTTTATTTGGATAGCTGGCTTTCTTGAGGGAAGGCTGCTGGGAGCTGGGCTTCCTCTCTGCTCTCTGCCCAGACTCTCTTTACTGAGAAGGGTATAAATCTCCTTTTAGATGGGTGATCATTTAATTGGACACTCTTAAAGTGAAGCTGTGACTCAAATATCCCACAAGGAAAACAGACATTCAGAATAAAAAGTGGAGCAAAAATAACATCCCCATGAGAGAGATGAGGGGTCTTGTCTGTAAAAGCTGTGCCTGAAGCCTCATTTCCCAGGGAACTCTCCCTGCATTTTCCAGGGTGCAGGGTGTCATTCCTTCCTTGACTGAAGTGTGTTGGAGGTTCTCTTTTCTTCACTTCGTGTGAATTTAGAGGGTTTTCTCTTTCACCTGCGAAGAAAATAGGATTGGGTGGAATTACCCATTTTTGGTGGTCTTTTCTGTATTTAACCTGCATGCTCCACGAGAGTCCCAGCTGGGGTGCGGGATGGACATCCACAGCAATGAAGGCTCAGGGTATGTAGAAAGCCTGGAGCACAGTAACCTAAACAAAGCAAGCTCTCCATGCTTCAGTTCCTCAGCTGTAATACCCAACAGCAGTGCGTGTGTCAGTGGTAATCAATTCCAGCCAAACTGTAGTCGAGGTACAAACCCAAGGTGCTGTCCACACCATTGATGGATGGTGTTTTGCATTCTTCCACTTTCTAAATCCCCCTCCATGGAATTCCCTGAGAAATAAAAAAATCAGCAGTTTCAGCTGAGTGTTGCTAAAATTCACTTGTTGCCTCTTGTCCCTCGCTCCACAACAGAACTGCTTGTGAAGGAAGCCTGTGTCTCCTTGTATGCTTTGCTTGTTACCCATCAGGCACCTCTGGATCTCCTTATATTGTAAACTCCATCTAGGCCCATGGGTTTGCCTTATGTTTCCTTCAGATCTTTCTTCTTCCTTCCAGTTGGAGGCATGGCTGGAATCAAGCGTCCTTCCTCTGAACCTCAGGAGCAGCCTCTTGGGAAGAAAGCTGTTTCTGAGCCTCCTAAGCCAGTGCCACCAAAGCTGCCTCCTGCCCACCCACCAGCCAGAGCTAAGCCAAAAGAAACCTCCCCCGTCACCACAGTAAGAAATGTGTTTTGGGGTGTTCTTTATGCCTTAAATCTGCTCAATGAGCTAGGATATTGGGCTAGTTCAGTGCTCCTAGTGGTAAGGACTTGATCTCTAAATTTTCTGCTCACTATGGGGGATTTAATCCAGAGGCCTGGTTACTGCACAGATTCAGGTGGAAAATCCATCAGAGAGCTGGGATTCATCCCATGGTGAACAGGACATGGGTGTTGTAGGACACAGCTGTGCTGTTCCTAGATCTTGGGGATGGAGATTTTTAATGGAATGTGTTATATTGATTAAATTCTTGAAAACAGTTTCAAGACAGAGTAGGGAAGAAAACAGGGTGGAAGAAGGGAAGATCCGCTCTCAAAATGGTAAAGCCCTTTCCCAGCTCATTCAAATCAGAGACCTCTGCACTTCAGCACCAGACACCCTGGTCCTCTGGTTTTGTGGGAACCAGTCCCCCTTACTCTACCTTCTTGAGGGCTGTTCCTCTTTGTATGAGCAAGGGTTTGGTGGGAGCAGGGATTTTCTGGGTATCACTTCTTTATCCTAGCCAGCTATCATGCCAAACATTCGCCTGACTATGGGAGTTCCATAGCTGTATGTAGGGCCACAGTGCTGCCTACTCACCCACTGCTTCTTCCCACAGAAAGGGGTCCTGGCAGACAGCGGGAATATCCCAAGCAGCAGCTGTGGGGTCTGTGGGAGCCATGTACATCTGGTGCAGCGCTGCTTGGTCGATGGGAAGCTCTATCACAGGAACTGCTTCAGGTACAGCTCTTCAGATTTGGGATGTGTTGATTGCAGAGGGTTCCTTTGGGACTGGAGAGAGAGTGGTGTGGGACGTTGTGTCAGAGTGGAGGCAAGCTGGACCTGCTCTTGACCTGTCCATAGGGGAAACCCTTTGCCCAGGCCTGTTTTCATCCACACATTTCCCACTTAAAACTTTGTTGTCAGCAGCTCCTGGTTTTGGTGCCTGACGAATGTGCACACAGGCTCTGCTCACTGCCAGTGTGGTACCTTCACCCTCCCTCTGCTGACAGTGGAATCCTGCCTGCACTCTCAGCTGCATGGCAATGGCTTCCCAGTGCTCTGGAGGATGTTTGCTGAGATTTTTGTATCCACAGGTGCAGGCAGTGTTGGAACATGCTTCTTCCTGGAAGCTACAAACCTGGGCCAGAGCCCAACACGTTCATCTGTATCAGCCACCAGCAGCCAGACAGTGTCCAGATCTCTGGTCTCCGCAGCACTGGGAGCAAACCTGAGAGTACCCCAGCCCCTTCTGCTGCCAGGGCTTTCCAGAAAGCAGCAGAACCCAAGAAACCAGAGCAGGTGTTGAAGAAACCCAGCCAGGAAGGCCTTGCTAATTCAACCAAGCCATCTGTTTCATCTTCTGGAAGCTCTGGCTTCAAAAGTGTAAATACTCCATGGTCCTCTTCAGCTGTACATAAATCAGATGACTGCAAAGGTACCCCGTTAGGAAATAAACCAGATCATCGTGAAGGTGCCCCCCCAAGGCCTCCTTGGACACCCTCCACAACAAAAACACAGCAAGCCCGAGAGCATTTCTTTCAGTCATTGGAGTCTTCCAGCAATAAACCCTCTGACACTAAAACCCAAGTCCTTTCTCATGGCCCTGCTAAAACTTCCTCTGCCAAAGCCACTACTGAGGTCCGTCCAGTGAATGCTGCGAAGGATCAGGCACGTAACCATATTATACAGGCTCTGGCTGGATCAAACACCTCTCCAAATAAGCCAGGAGGACTCAGTTCCACTGGCTTCTCAGCATCCAGCAGGTGAGTACTATTCCTCTTTCCCTTCTTAGTCCCAAGATGATCATTGGGGTAACTTGGAGAAGTCCCAATCTTTCTTCCCTTTTCCCTGCCTGCTTTTGTGGCTGAGATTTAAAGACATGTAGAGGAGCTAAGACAAGTCTTTGGAACAGAGGCCAACAAAAAGGTCCATCCTTTCAAAAAGACTGACTAGGTTGTTCTTTCTTGCAGTGGCAAATTTTCTCCCACCAATTCTCAGTGGCAGAGTCCAGCTCCAAAAGCACAGCCCAGCAAAATAGGGTACACAGCACTAAAACAGGAAAAGATTACAGACCCTCTGCCCAAGAGCCAAGCTGCCAGCAGCAAACCTGTTTACTCTGTGCACAAGCCAGAGTCAAAAGGCATCAAAGGTGAGGATGACTGATTCACATACAGCTCTGTCTGGACCCAGCACACCATCTCTGCGCCTTTCTTCTGGACCAGTACAATGAATGTGTCAGTGACTCTTATACTTTCTATCTGTACCATCACATAAGAGTTTTCTGAGTTCTGGGGCTCCACTTATCCCTGTGCAATTGCTCCCTCTAGCATGGTGAGTTTTTCTACTCTGATGACTTCCAGGTATTTGAATTTGTACTAGCTGTCAACAAACGTTGGGATCATGGTGGATTTCAGAGGCTCAAGTACACTTTTCCACATGGGAGAACTTGATGAAACTTCAGGATGATTCCATGATTGCAGCTAGGGCTCACCCAGCTTCCTTGTCTCTGGTTTGCTGCAGTAACATCGAAGTATCTGCCTCAGTGCATGGCTTAGCTCCTAAGATCCTCCTGAGACTTAAATCTCCTTGTTTCTTTTGGTTGAATCTGCTGTTATCTTGCTATGTTCCTTTCTTTAGGAAGCATGAGTGCTGGTGAAGACAAGTCTGAGAGCCCATCAGACTGGAGATCTCGGTTGAAGCCTGTAGCATACAAGTGAGTGTCTTGGAGCTGGTGGTTCTCCATGACAGGTGAATGGAGATGTCCAGGCTTGCATCTGTGTTTGTTGCTGCAGGTCTGCATGCACATAGGAGGAAAGAGCTCCTGTGTTTTAATGCTTCTGTTTTCAGCAATCTGATGGAAAAGGGAAAGGCTTTCATTTCTGGGTGAGGGAAAGCATGTTTCAAATTGCTGGACTCTGATTAGAAAAGTGAGACCAGTTGGAGAACCAGCCTAGGATGTCTAGAACTCTTCCTGTAGACCATTCTGCAAGAGGGATGGTTTCCTACCTTTGTCTTTCTTCTTTGCAGAGACCAAAGTGGCACTGAGAAACCTACTGGTAACTCCCAGGTGGGAACAGGGAGTCCAGAACACAAGGAGACAAAGCCAAGCCCATTAGTTGTCCCATCAGCAAAGCAGGACTCTGGTATGAAGGATATAAGCTTTGCCTTCATTTTGCTAGTTAGGCAGGGGACAGACATTAGGTGCTGCAAGGCACAGGTAACGTGTTGATTGAAATAGTGCCTTGCTTTCAGGAACCTTTGTTCTTTGCACCTCCTTTGGCCCTGTGGTGACTTTATTTGGAGAGACATTCTTCCCCAAGGAGAGGGACTGTGTCTTCACAGGGTGCCCTTCTTCTAGCAAGATTTCACTTACTGTCTCTTGCATAAGTGTGTAATGGTGAGAAAACCCCATGGTGGTTCCAAGCCATTTATTCTTCTCTTCCACCCATCTCCTACTCTGGCCTTGTAATTGGTGGTTTCTCCCTGTTTCCTTTGGGTTTGTGCCCCTCCCTGTCATCTAGGGCTCGAAATGAAGGTGGCTAGTGATTAGTGCCAGAGATGCTGGGCAATAAAGGGATTTTTGGGAGATGAGGGTTGAAATTGCTTACCCCAAACCTGTCTGTGCTTCTTAATCCAGCTTCATCTGGTGGATTCATGAAGAAGTTGATCCCCAGCTCGGATCTTGTCAGGAGCTGTCAGAATTCAAAGCAAGGCTGGGAAGTCCCTGGGGGCTCAGCCAAGAAGGAGGAAGAGGGCAGCCAGTTGAAGAAAAGCACTACCATAGGTAAGGTCTCTTCTGCCTGCTTAAAAGCACTCTTTCCTTTGCACTGTCAGGGAACAGCCTGACTGGTCAGTGTGGGAGATGTGTCCCTGAGTTTCCAGTGGCTGTAGTCATGGGGTAAAAATCTGTGTCCTTAATTCTTATTAACCCGCTTGGCCTAAGCAGGAACCAGCCAGGCCAGAGAATTCAGTGAGAAGGGAAGAAATGAAAACAGGGATTTGCCAAGGTCACTGCCCTGTCATTCTTTACACTCAAAGCTATGAAGAGGACCATCTCCTCATTCAGAGAACTGGGATCTAGCTGATATCTCTTCCCTTCAGTTGAGTGGGTTTGGAAAATGAAAGGAATGCAGGGAACTGTAAGCCAGAGTCTCCAGCTGGCGGGACCATGGTAGCAGCAGCCTTGGCTGCTTTCCTTCTTGGACATTCAAAGATGTCCTGACCAGTTCTGACTGGTTTGTTCCTACCCTTAATCCAGTTTTTTCTGTATGTTCGACCAGAGCTTTACTGTGTACCTCTCCTCTTTTGCCTAGTTGTTTTTGCTCCTATGTATCCCTTCAGAATGTAAATGAAACTTCCTGGAACTTACCTGGTGGTTGCTGCTGTCCTGTTTGCTCAGCTTGTTTGATCTCCCCTTTTCTTACCCCAGTTAGCTCTGTTTTATCTGTTTATCAGGGCTCAGCCCTTGCTCAGATGTTTGTCTTGGAGCAAACAGGATTGGTCCTGGTGGCACCGTGGCCTCCAGCTATAGTATTTGTTAGCTGGTTCCAGCATTGTCCTTAGCCTGCTCCTCTGATAGCTACAGAGCATTCAAACTCCAGTTATGTTGTCTGTTTTAAAAGTGTACCGTGGCTCCACTGCCCAAAACTTTCCATCTCCTTTTTCCCCAGACTCAGCCACAAGGATCAGCGTTACATCCTTCCCAGGAAGTGAGCTGTTAAGATAAGGGAGGCTGGTTTTATATCCGTCTTTCTAATGCTTACTGATTGCTGTTGGGGAGTGTCTGCTATGGGAAACTTTTCCCAGCAGTCTCCCCCTGTTTTTCCACGTGTGTGCAAGGCTGCCATCCCAAAGGCTGTTCTCCTGCTGCTGTCACTTGGCAGCCTGCGGATTAAGGACAGACCTGTTGCTCCTCTGTATAAGCCTTTACCTCAGCATTCAGAGACATGCTGTGAACAATCAGCTACCATTCCTGCCCTTAATCCTCTGTGTGTTGTGTGGGGTTGTGGATGGTGAGCATTTCTGTAAATCACTCATTTTCTTTGGGATAAGCAGAGTTTTTCTTTTGAAACAGGGTTTTCTTTGAGTCATTTTGCTACCTGTTCCTCTCCAGTGACCTTGGTCTTCTTGTGATCAGTGGTGCAGCTTTCTGCTTTGGCTGAAGGTGCTATAGAGATCACTCAGAAGAAGCCTGGAGATGCTGAGCTGGGAGAGGGAGGTTGCTCAGGCAGTAGCAGTAGACTGCTCATGGCAGGCCAGGTCCCTCTTGGAGGAACCTTTAGGAGAGGTTGGAAAAGAAACCAGGTTGGACAGGGCTTGAAGCAACCTAGTCTAGTGGAAGGTGTCCCTGCCCATGGCAGGGGTTGGAACTAGATGAGCTTTAAGGTCCCTTCCAACCTGAGCCATTCTATGATTCTCTAAGTGCAAGTCGCAAGTAGCATACAGGGCAGCAAACCAGGAGCATCCAGAAGGAAAAGTACCCTGACAAAGGCCATCAGTGCAGGGACAACACAGCACATTGCCATGTGCAGCAGTGTCTCCTTTTGCAGTCTTCCTGAAAAACACAGTAGAGTAAGGCCTGGGCAATTGGAGAGGTGTCCTTGAGTGCTTCCTCGAGTCAACACCAATTGCCAGAGACTCTCAAGAGGCTTCCTGAGTCTGTCCTGTGTTTCTCCTTGTGTATGCTGAGCCTGCACTGCTGCTGCTTTTCTTACAGCTATGCTCTTTTGGTACTAGAGTTTTCCTTCCTTATCACATCATCCACGTATGCCTCTGTTCTCTCTCTGTAGTAATTATCCAGCCCAGCCCCTCGGGTATCCGAAAACCTCACACTCTTCTGTAGTTATCCTTGCAGCACAGTTGGGCAGAGGAAGCTGAGGCACAGTGGAACAAATACACATTGCAAAAAGAATTGATTTTAATAGGTGTCCAGGGCCTAAATAATGCTGTGTAGTGGGGCCTTGGGGACTTCTCACCTAGGAAGTGTTTTGTGGAAGGAATTGAACCTTTGTTTCCTGAGACCTATGATAAGGTCCCCTAGACCATCTTTATTTACTGAGTATTTCCTGCTACTTCTTTTTGAAGGACCACTAGAGGGGTATTTTCAAGTATATCTTAGTGTTTCCTCTGACAATAATCCAGTATTTCTGTTCTATCCTTTGGAAGCTTAATAAGGGGTGGCTTTTGCCACAATAAGTATCTTTGAGTTTTAACAAGGTAAAGAATGAACATGGAAGTCAATATTCTTGGGTGGAAGATTGAAAGTCACAGCTGAGTTAGGTGACTGGCTATGCCCTGGGGATGAAAGCAGCACCCTGTGACCAGAGGGTATCTGAGTGTCCAGCCTTAAGGAGTAAATCAGGCCATGCTGTTTCCTGTGCATGCATCTCCCACCTTAGTCAAGGGTGCTGATGCATACATGTTATCAGTGGCGTGGCAGGGATCTGTTGTGCTCTGGTGGTGTAGGCACTGTCCCACACCACAAAACTGTGTAAAGTATTTTGTGGAATTCTTTGGGTTTATGTTTTTTTTCCGTTCTAGTTAAACCCTCTGCTCCGAAAAGTACCCAGAGCCCTGAAGCAGTATCCCCAACCAAGGTATGGCTGGAAACCAGGTGTAAGTGGAACAGGCTGGGGTTGTTGGGTGTCCTGTTGGAGTGCTTGCCCACTTATATCTCAGTTTGTCTTATTGGGACGTAATAAGACACTAAGGCAGCTTGTCTTACTGTTTGAATTCCCAAGGAACGGATAACAGAGAGCCAAACAAAGTTCTGGTAGACACTGTGTCTCCCAACAAAGGAGGGAGAACATCTGTGGAGTGACAAGTGTGGGTAGATCTTATCCTGTAACGTGTCAGTGGCCATCACGCTGATGGCTTGGCCCTTCCAGGACATGACTCTGCAGTTGGGCTCCTGATGTCGTTTCCCATCTTGGTTGGAGCTGTGACCTCAGTGGGAAGTCTGAGGGCACTGAGCTGTATTTGGTCCTACATTTGTTTTTCTAGCTGCACCCAGACTACCTCCCCGAAGAGGAAATCCAGGGCAAGGTGCGTGACATTGAGAAGCAGCTGGATGAGCTGGAATTGAAAGGAGTGGATCTGGAGAAGCAGCTGCGTGGCTGCGAGGGAGGTAAAAGAGACTCTGGGCCAGCTCTGATACAGTGGGGAGGTGTGAAGCTCGTGTCTTGCCTCATGGCATTCTTGGCTCTGTTTCTAGGAGCTCTTGCTACGTGTGAGACACCAGGTTGCCAAAAGTGCCTGGTATAGCAAGATAAAGCCCTGGGAATTTCAAACCCTGTCTGGCTGTTTCCTAGCCTATTGTTTGAGGAAGGACTTCTGTTTATTTGGCTGAGGATCAGGGAGTTTGGGAGTGGAAGGCTGCTATTGATCTGACTGATCTGATCTCAAGCCAGACTGGTTGTCATGGCTGGCTCCAGTTTCACAGAGGTTAGTGGATTCATTCAGAATGGCAGAGTTGAGCTGGCCACATGGAAGATGAGCTGGGTGCAGAGTATCTGTGAGCATCTTCCTTGGATCTGCAGGGAGTGATTTGCATCCTTTCCTTTGTACCCAGGAGTACCAAAATGAACTGTAGCTCATCACTGCCTGTAGCTCATATTAGTCATCCTGGGCTCTCCCTCAAGTATCGTTTGTTTGAGCCAAGGAGACTGAACTGGTGCATCTTCTGAAGGAATCTTTCCTTTTGTCTCCTCTTGCAGATGAGTCTGAGGATGCTCTCATGGTGGATTGGTTCAAACTGATCCATGAGAAACAGCTGCTGCTCAGGCAGGAATCAGAGCTGATGTACAAGTAAGTACAACCAGAAGTTCACCCATCTGCTTGTGCGCTTCACCTGGGAGCAGGAAGCAGTGAAAGGAGAAGGAGTGCGGCAGCCCCCCAAAATAGTGTGCCAGTTGGTGGGATGAGGGAGACTTGAGGATGTCTCTGGGAGAGCTGCCAGCATCCTGATGGGCCTTTGAACACTGGTGTGCACCCAGGGCCTGAGATGAGCTCATGGGAGGGAGACTTCACAGATATGATGGAGGAAGATTTCCCCTGACCCACCAGCTCCTGCCCAGGTAGTGGGCAATGCAGAGGGAAGGCTTTAGCATGATGAGAAGGGTTCAGCTGTGGGCATGGAGGGGCAGTTACTCACCACATCTGTGCTTCCTTCCAGGATGAAACAGCAGAAGCTGGAGGAGCAGCAGTGGAACATTGAGATGGAGCTGCGACACCTCATGAACAAGCCAGGTGAGGACTGGCTGCACTGCAAGTCCTGCTGGCCCCAGGCTGTGTGTAGCCCTCCACTTCATGTGCCAGCCCTGGGATGCCCTTCAGATCCAAATGACACTGCCAGGGACTGCAGTTTCAGTGCAGGATGTCTCCTGACTGCACTGTTGAGCTGTCAGTTGCAGACTCCCTGTCGCATCCAACCCACCTGCACTGGATGTGAGATGTGCCCACGAGCATGAGGATAATTTGGGCCTGTGAGAGGGGCTTGCTGGAGCAGGGTGGAGGCAGGAGCCACAACACAGAGGTAACTAACCTATAGCTGTGAGATGGGCTTTCCTTGTCTTGTGCAGAGGAGCTGAAGACGCACAGGGAGAAGGAGCGAGAGAAGGAGCTGCTGGAGTCATACCTAAACACGGTCAATGATCGGAATAGCATTGTGGAGTGCTTGGATGAGGACAGGCTCAGGTGAGGACCCCCAGATGGTGGGAGATGAGCCAACACCAGGGATGATTTCCACTGTACTTCTTCCACTGCCCAGGCTGCAGGGGTGGAGGAATGGCCATAATCCAGACCAACTCCATGCAAGATGGGCAGTGACCTGTCACCAAGCATCTCATCTTAAATGCTGCTGCCATTGCTTCCTTGGCAGCTGTTAGAAACTGAGATAAGGACCACAGCCATATTCAATGCTCTTTCAAGCTAATGCTGCTTTGAACTGTGAAAAGAAGGCCGGGGAAGAGAGAGAGAGGCTAGAGATGGGGAGGATGAAGGCAGTATGGGAGCTGCAGGAGAGCTCTGGGGATAGGAAGGCAGGAATGTGTTTGTCTGCTGCAGCAAGTAAAAGAACTGTAGCTGAAAGTTGGATCCTCCCCAAGCTCAAAGAAAGACTGCTGTGTCAAGTAGCTGGATTTGTACCTCCTGTTACTGACAGCAGCCTCTATTTCTTGACCTCAGGGCACCCACTCCAGCTGGAGTTGAGTAATGCCTCAGCTTTTGGCTGTGGCTTTGCCCAGGCCCATGGAGATAGCATTGCATTTGTCCCTGGTTGTGATGAGCACCCCCGCAGCACCCCAGGCCACTGGTGTCTCATCTCCTAGGGTGTGATGTTGCTTCACAAGTGGTGAACTCAGATGATTCATAGGCCAGGAAGGACCTCTCTGCTCCAGTGCTAGATATCCATGGTCTGGAAATCCCCACACAGGCCCTTGCTCTCAAGGGAACCAGATGCAATTTGCTAGTACGCAGGACTCCTCTAACTGCTTGTTTGGCTGTTTCTTTTCCTGCACCCTTCTCAGAGTGTGCTGTGGAGGTTTATCATTTCTGACTGGGGAGTTGTCTTTGCATGGGTTTTGGTGTCTACCACCTTGTCATGAAACAGCAAGTTTTCTAATGCCCTGCTGTTCCATTACAGAGAGCGAGAGGAGGACCAGATGTTGGCAGACATGATCCAGAAGTTGGGTAAGGGCCCATTGTACTCTGTGGAGCAGCACTGGGTGGTTCTGGGCCTGTCTGGGGTGGGTCTTAACCTGCTCTGTGCCTGCACCCTCTCCTGCAGATGGATCTCTGGCTCCTGGCTCTCGAGAGAAGAAGAACAAGTTCTGCTTATCCAGAATATGGAAGTCAAAAAATAAGAGTAAAGCTCAGGAGTGATGTTCCTTTGCCCAGTGGCTCAGCAGGGGCTATCATAGGTATGTTCCTTCCTCGCTGCTGCTTTCCTGGAGTCCTGCAGGACTGTGATGAGGTTCTTCTGCTCCCTGACATGGAGACTGCAGGTTTGTCAACCAAAGGGACAGTGCGAATCCCCTCTGGCCCTGGTATGGGGGTCAAGGATACCTTTCCCAGAAGGTGGACTTTAAAGAGTGTTTTCCTTCTTTGGATCTAGCTCAGAGCTGGCTTCAGCCCTGTTGTCAGCTCAGGAGGGCAGAGCTCAATTTGCCCAGCCACTGCTCAGGTCATTGCATTCCTGAATGCAGGAGCATGGCGCTTCATCACCCCACAGTGCCCCACTCGTGTCAGCCAGGGCTGCACTAAGGGCACTGTACTGGTCTGTAAAAGGGCTACAGTCCCTCCCTCTCTGCATGTGCTGTGGCTCTTTGGCCAGGATCAGAGACACAGGGAGGTGCTATGGGGTGAGAGAGATTGAGGGTCTTCCCTGTTGTAATCTGGAGCTGCAGGCCCCACAGCTGGGAGGAGGCAGAGAGCAGAACCCCCTCTGTATCTGTGGGGTGGAATGTCCTAGAACCAGATTGTTTCAGCAGTAATGCTTTTGCTTCCAGACCTCCTTTTGGGGAGTGTCTGCAGGCTAGTTTCCCAAAGCTCATTGCTTCATTCCCTCTGTGGGGGAGATGTGCAGCTCCCTTACTTCTCTGGCTGCACAGTGAAGCAGGGTTTTCCATTATGGCCCATTCTGCTGAAAATGAACAAAAATCTTCTTTTAATAACCTGGTGCTAATGGGGAGCAGAAGGACATTAATGGGTTTGCCTCATCCATGAGTTCTGCATGGGACCAATGCTTTTAGTTCCTGAGGCTCCGTCCCTGGGCAGCCAGCGCCCTCAAGGGGTGCTGCGGTTCACATTGGTGAGACAAGGCGGGTACGAGCATGTCCTGGGTTGCTGGCAGTGAGTCTTTCTACTCTCCCCTCCGTCCAGCGACTGCAGCCAGACACCTGGTGTGGCAGCATCTTCTCTTCCCAGTCAACCTGTGGAGCAGGGATGGAGACAGGCGGGGAAAGGTCAGATTCATTCATGATGCCTCTAGCTCCACTATGTGTGGGCTTCCCTCCTCCCTCCCAGCCAGGTACTCTGAGGTTTCTCAGGGTCCTGTTCTCCAGCAGGGCCCGGGGTTTTTCACAGAGGGGGTTTGCTGCCCGCTCTGCCCTGTGGCAAAGCAGAGGCGATGCGTCCCTTACCCACGAGGTGGCAGTGGGACTCTCTGTCCCCGGAAGCCTGCCCTGGGCACCGCAGGGCTGTGCTCGGTGAGGTACCAAGTGCCTGAGGGGTTCCTGGTGCCCACACTGTGTGTACATGTGCTGGGGCACCCTGTACCTGCGTATGCTTTTGTCCAATAAAGAACTGCTGGAGCACATCTCTGAGTCCCAGTGTGAGTTTGGATGTGGGATGTGGGCTGCCCTGATTGCTGTGTGCACTGACGATCCCTCTCTGGAGCTGAGTGGTAGCAGGAGCTTGGCATAGCTGTGATGGAAAGGCTCCCCTGCCCTGAACTTGCAGCCTAACTGAAGGTCCTGGATGAGCAGCAGTGCTAAGGAGTTTCTCAGTGATTTCAGACTCCCCGCAGCTCTCAGGTAACTACATTTTCCACCTTGCTGCTTTAGCGTCACGCACGTCCCCAAAGCCTTGTGGGATACCAGCAGTCTGAGGGAGAAAATGAGAAGCAAACCCTCTTCTGCTGTAGTTGTACTGTGGCACTGGTGAATGGCTGAACTGCGGTTTCATCACGTAAAACACTTCTGGAAGTGCTGCACCACAGTCTTTGCTCCATGTTCTTCCAAAGGAGAAAATGAGCTGGTTTTGGGGCACATGCTAACCACAGCGGCTGGCATGCTGTGCCTTGCATCCCGACTTGCTTGTCAGGAAACTGTTTCCCGGGACTGTGTGTAAACATGAAGGGAGGAAGGATAGAGGGAGACCCCTCTTCCAGGCCTGGGCATTAGCAGCAAATCCCCAAAATTAAACATGACTGTGTGGGCTCTGCCAGCTGAGAGTGGTGGAGATGGAAACACCTCTGCTAAAGGGAGAAATACCCTTCCTAATGAGTGTGTCCCCCTCCTACAGCTGTGCCACACTGTCATTATTGCTGGGCTTTCATCTTCTCAGGCTTAGATTCTCCAGCGTTGAGAAGTTTAGTTTGTGTGGATTTAGGGGTGGCAGCATCAACCAAAGTCATCCAATCCTTCTCTCTCCAGGACACACGGAACAGTGTAACCCATCTTGAAGGCAGACAGGAGATGGGTCTACACAGGAACGTGATCACACGGTGTTTAAACAACAACCCTCAGGGCTCTGCAGCAGCAATAAGTGCATATGGTTTGATCTGCTGCAGGGGTTTGCTTCATGAGGTCAGCTGCTACCAGAAAGCAGGCACTGGTTGTACTTGCTAGCTATGTGGTTACTTGCCTCCAAGAAGAGGTTCTGAAGGGAAAACTGCTGCTTCTCCCATCTGGAGTCTTGGAGATGGTTATCCTGGTCTAAGGTATAAGAGGCTCTCTGGAAATGCTGTGTGGGTCTTCAAAGATTTAAGTGTTCTAGATACAGAGATACTGAGAACAGGAGTGGAGACAGGGCCTCAGCCTTCCTCACCATGCCACTGACAGCAGGAGGTTATGGGCTGGTGTGAAGCTGACTTCAAGGCTGACCTCAGTTATTTCTATGTCAAAAATGAGCAGATGAATAGTGGAGTAGTGATCCAAACACATCCTGCCCACATACCCAAACTCTTGTCCATACTGATGCAGCACTCTCTGGTCATGGGCAGGGTCTAGCGGTCCCAAGCACCCTACAGCCTCCTGCAGCCCCACACCCAGACAACTGCTGGTTGTGAACATGAGGACAGCACAGCTTGTTTCTCCATCCTCAGCCTTGAATTTGGGACTTAAGGGATTTGCATTTCCACCACTCTCCTAATCAAGACTTGAAACGGGCCCTACACAACTAAGCTGCTGGCTAAGGTGGAGAGAGGGAACGGCTTTTTTCCAGCTGGCTGCTTTCGGCTGAGCCAATTCTCCCTGCCTGACCCCTGTTTGCTCTCCTGGCACAAGCAGCTTTGCTCACGCTATGGAAGTGCTCCAGGAGGCAAAGCAGGAGGATTTGGCCTAGGGACTGTGTGGGGAGGGAGGTGTTGGGAAACCAGCCTCTTCATTGCACTCACTCCTGAGTAATTAGGCAATGCAGGCACCCTCCTGTAACCGAGCAGGAGTCGAATTCCTCTCCATCCTCCATGGGCCTGTTTCTGCTCTACTCCAGCCTCATCAGATGCCAAACCCCGAGGTCAGGCTAGCAGGGGGTTGACAGATAGCGTTGCTGTGTGCTTGTGGGTGTCTGCATTTCGCTGATGACTGAGAGCTTAATTACTCTTCTAGGTCAGCTTCTCCACTTCCAAAATGGTTTGAAGGGGGCTGAGCTTCCTGCTCATTTCCTGATGGCCACAGTCGGGTTCATGGCCTCACCAGCTCCTGGATACCTGGAATGCAGCCACTGCTTTCTTCATAGCTGAGGAGGAGTGTGGGGGGACTATACAGAGGTTGGGGGCTGCACCCCTGAGCCCTGTTGTTTAGGAGGCTCTTGGGGGTCCTTCTGCAGGCTTGGGGTGATGGGGAGGCCGCTGGCTGCTCCAGCACTTCAAGACTTGCAGATGAAGCTGTGATTAGGCACTCTGTGTGTGTGTCTGTGTGTGTGTGTGTCTGTGTGTGTGTGTGTCTGTGTCTCTCTTCTGCAGTTTTCTTTAATTACAATCTCGGAGGTAATTTCTGACGCATCATTAACAGTTCTGAGTAAACAAGGGGAATTCTCCAAATTATTTGCCATGAGCACAAAGGGAAATTGGCTTTCATCGTCTCCCTCTTCAGCCAAGGAAGAAGCTGATCTGCAGGAGGCACAGGGAAGGAAGGGAGCATTGGGCTGCCCTCAGATGCCTTGAGTCAACTTGAAGCGGAGCAGCAACCCCTCCAGTTTATCCAGCTGACTGCAGGGCCAGCTCTGCCTGCAGCGTTTTGTCCCTACCACTGACCTTAGTGCCTAGGACTCATTGCAGTTGTGACTGTAAACGCAAAGTGCCTTTTGCCTATGTTAGCTTTGGGTGCTGCTTTTGGGTGTTCAGCTCCTGTTTCCTGCTGGGTGAATTGGTTCCCATGCTGCTCAGGATACAAGACAGACCAAAAGCATCCTCAGGGCTGTGTCTCAGCATGGAAGGTGCCACCCTGGTCCTTGGCTGTTGGGGTTAAGGGTGATGCCTGAGAACAGTGTGGAGTTGGGAAAGGAAGGAATAAGCACTGATATGAAGGGATTTGGGGCCTGGGAAGCTAGATTTAGTCCAAAGCAAGAACCAGGAGGGATAACGATGCACCCTGTGTGAGCAGCAAATATGCCTGAGGTGTGCGGAGGTGCCTGGAGAGGACCTTTTTGTTGGGCAACCATGATAGGGGAAGAGGCTTTGTTTGAGGGGTGGCACATGAAGCTGAGACAGGGCAGTGGCACCCACTGGAGCATCCCCACCTCTCCCACCCCAGGTACCGTGTTGTCAGCCCCTTCACCTGCATCCCAGCGTAGTGGCAAAGCGTGCGCAGCGGCAAGCGAAGGAGCGCGGGTTCTTTATATTCACGCCGCAGCGCACCCAGCCATGACTCTGTTATCTGCCATGCATGACTATTACTTGAATACAGAGTTTGTCGTGACTATTCTTCCGTGTGAAACAAGGGATTTGCTGCGGGATGGGAGCCCTCCCTCCGGCTGTCAGTCAGGAGGGGTTTCCTTTTCCTGTCTCGCTGGAAGCCGCGTCCCCAGCAAGGTGAGACAGTGGACACTTTTTCTCTTGTTAATATCCATGTCTAATCTCCTCTCAGAGGGGCCCTTTGTCCTAGACTGTAGCCAAGATGAGTAATTCCGGGATAGATGAGACGCTATAATTGGTTTGTGACAAATTAAAACGTTTTTCCTTGGGAGCTGAGAGCAGGACTGTGGTCTGGAGCTGTCAGGCGTCACAGGGGAGGGCGATTTTTCGGAGTAAGCGCATTGCAAATTGGCTCCAGATACGCCTCGGAGTCTGAAATTGAACTCCAGCTGGTGCCTCTTCTCAGTTGGGGTTTTGTTTTAGGGGGGTGACACAAAGGGAACATGTGCAGGGAAGGGACAGCCTGATCGATACAGAGAACGTGACTTCTTTTTGCATCATGCAATGAGCTGGGGACCACGGTGAACCCGTGGTGGGGATGCTGGGGAGCATCCAGAGGTGTGATGGAGTGAACAGGCCAAGAGCTTTGCCTGCTTTTTCTCCATGCTGCTCTCAATGGTTCCTCTACTACATCCCAGGCAGGAAGGACCATGATGGGAAGTTGCAGCTCGCATCTCTTCTCTTGGTTGTGAGTGGGTGCCAGATACAGAACCTCCTCAGGAGCTGCAGGCTGGTCCTTGTCCTGTCATACTTATTTTCCTGGGCTAAGGAGAGCCCTTCACCTCCACCTGGAGAGCAGGGGACCAGCTAAAAGTCAGGAACACACAGGAAATCAGGACAGAGCAAAGGGATGGAGGTGGAAGGAAAGCAACTTCCTGATGCAACTGCTTGGCACTGCTTAATGGAGA